TTTTTTTTTTTTAATCTGATCAAAATCTACGTTATGTTTTTGCTTTTGATTTGTTAGGGTTGAGGTTATGGTAGATTGTTGTCTATATGGTTTAAGTAAGTCGTTATTCCTTTCTATTAACAGGAGTGTCAGTAAAGTGCATGATGAGTGGTTTGCCGATGAGGAAAAGGTTTGCAAGGCTGTTGGCTTTCTGGAAAAACCAGTTGTTGAATATCCAAATGCCACTGAAGTAAGTATTTTTCATATAGGACGTAGGTTATATTATTTGTATTCTGCTTTGCGTTAACTTGTTATTGGTGTTTTGGTGCTCTACAATAAAATGTATGTGAATTTCTAATTTCATATTCTTATTTTTTGACAGTTGACTTGTGGGATTTGTTTTGAAGCCTATCCTCGTGATAAGATTCATACTGCTGTTTGTGGTCATCCTTTCTGTGATACATGTTGGGGAGGTTTGGTCCGGAATATCTTTCCTATTAGTGTCCTGATGCTCTTATATTTCTGGATTAAATCTCGGAGTAAAAACCATTGTTTCCTCTAGAAGTATCAATACTACAGAAAATGTGCAAACTAGTGCAGATGATTGTTGTGGCATTGATTTTTCTTCTCTCTGTTAGTGCTAGTAATCTTTTCATAAGAGGATATTTAGCCATATATAAGTTTTACAACTGATAATGAATCTGTTGAATCTTGTTAGAAAACTGTTTTTAATGCTTTGGAACTTCAATGATGCAGCGCTAGTATGAGTGCATATTCTTTTGCATATTTTAATTTGATGCAAGGGGGAAAAGGGGAAAGAATCTCTGTCTACGTCTGTTAACGCGTAAAACAAAAGTATTACATATTGTATAAAAAGATGTTTACGAAACTTATGAAGCTGAATAGTTCAGAACAGGTTACGATACTAAATAAAAATTATGCACAAACACTTGTGAGCACAATGCCTAATATGAATTACGATTTATTCAGAACTGGTTATACATATTGTGTTCCAGTCATCTCGTTACTTCTTCCACTATATATTATTCCTATTTGGATGAACAGATGTAAATGAAGCTTAACGCCTAATAACTTAGAACTGGTTATTTTACTTTCTAAATAAAAAGGCGGATACAAAAAATACGAAGCATAACTTATAATATGAAGCTCAATTTAATTCATAACTGGTTATATATTTTATCTTCCAGTCATCTCATAACTTCTTTCACTGGATATCCAACAACCTGTCTCTTTCAATCTTATTAAAATTTTCTGGCTATAACTTGTAATTTCACTTACGATTTGAGGTTTCTGTCCTGTTTTGTTTTCTCTTCTAGGATATATAAGTACGGCCATTAATGATGGTCCTGGCTGTTTGATGTTGCGATGCCCTGATCCATCTTGTTCTGCTGCTATCGGTCAAGATATGATTTATAAACTGGCATCTGGTGAAGAGAGGGGGAAATATTCTCGTTACTTCATTAGATCTTATGTTGAAGACAACAGAAAGGTAATTAAATTTTGAACTTTAATGAGTTATTTATCTGTCAATTGGAAGTAACTCTGTTGCATCTTACCTCTCTTATATGTTTTCTTACCTGAAGTGAAAAGGTATCCATTGAGGCCTTTCTAATTAGTTGAGTGCGGCATTGGAACCATTTCCAGTGGAGGTACTAATGTTCAAGCACATAGAGCTTGACGTAGTGAACCAGTACTTAGTAATTGTTGCAACTCCAACAAAAGCTTTATTTGTTAAGCATTAGTTGCAGAATTTGCCTAGTTTTGCTGATTAAAACTTAGAAGTCCTGTAGGAATTTTCTACAAGTTTTAAATTTTTTGGCCATTCTATCACTATAGTTCTTTCCAGAATGCCATACATTCTTGTTGCCTCATTTTTTTAAGCTTTGTTTTTGCCAAATATGTTACAGTGACTTGTGGGTTGCTTTTGCAGACAAAATGGTGTCCGGCGCCAGGCTGTGATTATGCTGTAGACTTTGTTGTTGGCAGTGGAAGTTTTGATGTTACTTGTCGGTGCTCATATAGCTTTTGCTGGAACGTGAGTCTCTTCTATTCTTTCATTTTTTTTTT